CCCCAAAACCCCAAAACCCCAAAACCCCAAAACCCCAAAAATTCTTATAAATATTGAAATTTCTAAAAATGACATCTCTTCGTCCATCAGAACAGCCAGTACTGACAAAAGCTAGGAAGAGCCAGAACCTTGCTCAGCTAGGAAGGACGCCTTCTAGCTTCTTTAGAAATAACGGAGCAGCAATTGAGGCTTTTAAAGAGAATTCAGTAGCAAATGGCAATGTAAGGGTTTGAGATTGTGCTGGGGTTTAAGGGTTTGAAAATTTTGATGGAGATCATGTTTATTGGCATTTTCAGAAGATAATTATTCTTTTAAGGATATGAAACTCAATCCTATAAAATCAATCGACCGAAAGAGCAGCTACAACCAAGTTTTCTCCAAAGAATACTCAACTAAACGATTTTGTAAGTCCTCTCCTCATTCTCTCCTAACTCCTCTATTCTAGCCCGTAGGGCCCTTCAGACTCTCTCAAACACTAGACGTGACTTCATCCCACCTCAAAACACTACTCATTCTCCTCCCTTCAGACCCAGTAGTAACCCTCTTGCTCACCTCTAGATCCCCCTACAAAATTTGATATCTTTTCAAACCCCACTTTCAAAATAGGTACTCTATTCCTTCCTGGTTCCAGTTGTCTTCGGCCCTAAATCCCGAAAGAAATCAGCTTAACTCTAACTTTAATGCATGATTAATGCATTTCAGAAATTAGGAGAAATTGATAATTTAGACCGAGCCAATGAAGGCAGGCATAAGCTGAACAAGAAATTACCAGGTAAGGAGGAGTTGTGCTACTTAATTATTTAGGATTTAAACATCTCTGTTAAACTATATCTCCTAAATTCTTTATCAAGAGAGTAACTAGTTTCACTATTTTTAGATAGTTTGATTCTACTTTGCTCTTCACTTGCTCTTGTTTATGGATCCCTTCCATACAATTCAAAATGGTATTCTTAATGATTTTTAACTAAAAATAGCTAGTTTTAAACCAAAACGAACACTTAGATTTAATTAAAAAATGTCAATAGTCTATTCCAATTGCCCAAACCAAGCAGAAATATTATCTTTCAAAAACCTCTGATTTTCACTACAAAACTTCTTCTCTTTAATTCCAGCGGTATCTCCTACCCCAAAAACCACTTCACCAATTCCACCTTCGAGCCCATGCCACTATTTTCTCTGCTCACTTTTTCACTTTCTCTTCTTTCCTATAAATTTCCTATTTAACTTCCTCACTTAGAGTAGGAATAGGGGCTTCTTACAAAAGGTTTGGTAACAGACTTGGGAAGGAAGGACCAGGACTCCGTTGATCAAGAGAGAGAATTCAAAGAGTGAAGAAAATTGAAATTGAGTAGGAATTTTATGATTTTTGATGGTTTAGAGATGGTAAGGAGGTACAGAGTGAGGGATTTGGAGTGGGGAAGTTTGATGAGAGGGGTGAGAATGAGTCAAAGACAGTGGATTTGAGGACGATTGAGACTCAAGGTTGTGAGAATAGAGGTGGTAATCGGAAGATGGTACCTTCGGTAGGGAGACTGATGTTTAAAGTTTCTCCTAAAAATAAGATTAGAGCAAAACTTAAATAATTATTTTGCAGAGAATTTTGAGGCTAATTTGAACACTCACCAGCTCAGATATACTAAGGAGCAGGTGAGAAGGGAGATTGAGAAAAGTTTTAACAGAGCTATCACACCTAATTCTGATGATCTCACACCTGTGAGCTCCTTTATCTCATTTATTATAGAAAAAGAAGAGGAAATCTTTGTTTCAAAATCTAGGGTTTTCAAAAGAAATTGCTGCTGCAAAATTTAAGGCGAAAAGGAAATTTAACTATTCGGTAGAGCATCTGCAGAGAAAAAAAACCACGAATGACTATGGATATATACTTCCAAAGATTACCCCAGGAAGACCTAAAGACACTAGATCCTCTCGTGATGGTAAAATATCTCAGGATTCCGACCTAAAATCTTTATGTCAAAAGAATTTCATTCACCATAGTATTGATAGAGCTAATCTGAATTCTTATGTAAAAGAGGAATTTAAGACGATAATTAAATAAAGTCGGAGTATCTTCACAAGTAGGGTATAATCCGATGAATCCCCTGAAGCTCAACCAGGACTCATTTGTCATCAATGAAATCAAATCGTAAGTTAACTCTCTGATTGTCTTAGTGATCAAGGCACACTACATCTCTTTGGCGTCTTTGATGGACACGGCATCGAGGGTCTCAGTGTGAGTAGTTTCTGTAAAGTAAAAATTTCGAAAATTTTAAAATAAATTTCATGCGAAGAATCTTAAAATAACAGAAGTGCTTAAGAGATCAGTGATGAAGGTTGAATCTGAGCTGAAAAAGACCAGCATTGATTGATCTAACAGCGGGTCTACATCTTGCTTTGCTGTTGTGAAAGATGATATGATTTATTTTGGTAAGTTTCTTTGCCAGTTTTAATTACTCATAAAAATAGCAAATACAGGCGACTCTAGAGCAGTGCTTTTTGAATTCAAAGAACCTGCAATCCGGGTTCCTCAAGAGGAAGGCAAGGAGCAGACTTGAGAAAAGCCAGTCTCGGTGTTTTCAACTGTTGATCATACACCAGAAATCTCTCAAGAGCGTGAAAGAGTGATAGACAATGGAGGTCGGATCTCCAAATTTCATGGTGATTTAGGTCCCCTCAGGTATCCTTAAAATAATCCTTTAGAGTATGGCTTAAGGATGAGAACAAACCAGGACTTGCGATGACCAGATCTATTGGAGACTATATCGCCAAATCTGTAGGAGTTATATGCGATCCAGAAATTGAAGTTCAAAAACTTATACAGAAACATAGCATCCTCGTAATTGGAAGTGATGGTCTATTTGAATTTCTTCAGAATAGAGAAATCGGAGAGATTGTCTGGGAACATAGAAATAAACCAGCTAATGAGGTAGCTAAAATTTTAGTCAAAGAATCAGTCAAGAGATGGAAGGAAAAGGAAACTGTCATTGACGATTGCACTTGAATCGTCATTTATATAACAATTTAACACCTCTTTGAATAGTTTCTTAATTCAATTTGAAAGATATCATTAGGGGTTTTGGGGTTTTGGGGTTTTGGGGTTTTGGGG